CCTGGTGCAGTGAGATCCTTCAGGGGTAAGCATGATGTTGTGCTTGCGTTCTGAGAGTCAAGTGTGACCCTTGCGCGAAGGAGCTGCCAGGGTGGACAAGGGCAAGCTGCCCCAGAAGACTGGCCCGTGCAGTGAGGGCAGAGGGCGCAGCCCGGGCCCAGGCGCTCAGGCTCTCTGAGCTCTCACCAACAGTTCACGGCCGCGGCCGTTTGAGTAACTCTTTCCAACGGAAGAGTGTGCTATTCCCCCGCAGGTTGGAAACTGTGAGAATTTCAATAAAATTTCATCAACCTTATTAAAATATGTAGGGACCTCGGTCTTCTTGGGTACAAATCAGTCTAGAGACTTCGAAGCATTTATTAACAGTGAGGCTGCTGAAGGTTTCTAATCATAAAATTACAAACACTCTCTAATTGTAAGTATATGACTTTTATACTCGGTTTTTAAGGGGAAAAATACTTTTTTTACCCGAGGAAAAGTAACTCTGTCGGAGCACCTTCTGTGATTAGCGCTATTGTATTCTTAAATTTTGATTGATAGAGATAATAGTTTTCACTTAAAAATACAGACAGGTACTTTAACTTTCCATGACAATAGCTATTTGCATTTCTTTTATCTTTTTGTTTAACATTTGTGGGGGTTGGGATGGATTTGATTATTAACTCTTATTGCACACTAAAGGTAAATCTAAAACAAAGGCATTGTTGGAGCTTCAAAGGGAAAACAGCAAATATTGTTTTTAGGTTTCAACATTTAAAGGCTGTTAAAGGATACCTATAAAATACATTCACATGACCAGGACCAGGGTTTTGCTTTTCGAAGGTAGGAGAGAGCCATGTTTCCAAGTGAGCTGGGTCCACGCAGAGTCGCTGGGGACAACCAGCCGGAAGTCATTTCCCTGGGCAAGCACAGCCTGGTGGGGTGGTCTGCGCCACAGGCCAAGCCATTGTCTGTATTAGTGTTTTAGAGTTTAGCCTGCTGGACTAGACCACAAACTGAGTCACTGTTACTTGGTGAGGGCCTCACATTGGAAGGAGAAAGGAGGCAGCACACAAGGATATATGCAAGGGAAAAGGAGGCAGTGCACAGAGAAGGTGAGGGCATGACAGACCCAAAGTGTGTGTGCACGACGGACAGGCGTGGCTGCTGGCCAGGGTCATCTGCGTTCTCAGAAAGCCTGGACTGCACAGTGGTTGCTTGGTTTTTCTTTTCCTGTTTTTCTCCTTCTTTCTCTTCCTTCCAGTCCCTCTGCATTGCTCTGGCTCTTTCTATTTGAAGCCATCGTGGGCCACAGGAAACACTTAGGGCTCACTTCTGAATGGATTTTCTTGTCTGAAATGCAGTAAACCCGAATGACCCTTGGTGTTCACCCTCTTCAGCTAAGCCACCTGAGCCTTCAGCATCCTTTTGTTTTCCAAAAAGTCCTGGACAGACAAGGTCAGTTACCTACGAGCAGCGATCTTGGGAAAGGAGCCATTTGAACCTGTGCTGCGGAAGTGTCTGTGAACGGATTTGGGAGCCTGGGGCGTTTGACGCAGTTCCTGAATTTTGGAAAAGGAAGGGGTCCTCAAGCTAAGGACCTCCTGAGCTGCCCACTTTCTGTTGGGCTGACTCGGCTTCTCTTGTGTCTCCCTGGAGATGGCACAGGATGAGTCCTCAGCCAGCATTTGTTAGGCCAAAGGTTGAGATGAAATACGTCGGCCCTCCTGGAGAGTCACTTTCACATAATTGCGTAAAAAACGACAGATGACGTAGAAATTGGGTGGCAGGTAATTTCTTTTACCTGTCTGGAAAGAAAAGGGGGAAATATTCTTCATGAGAGAAGGGGGATATATACTGTTCATTTCTAGTCTTTTGACATGAGAGCGCACCTGCACCCTTACCTGCCAGCTCGAGTTGGCAGCACACAGTGTATAAAGGAGTGGTAGGATACAGCCAGAGGAAGTAGGGCCAGGTGTTCCAGTAACGTACAGGTTTTGTGAAATGACATGTCTAATTTGAGGGGAGAATTCAGAAGCGTGAGGAGGAGGGGATAGTAAGTTTCTGACCGTAGCAGTCACAGCTGAGGTTGGGTATCTTCTTGATCCTGGTGCGTGTGGTTCCCACCTGACCTCAGGTGAGTGATGCTGTCGCCAGGAGTAGCGAAGAGGCCATGGAACAGTTGTGTTTGCAGGGTCTTAACTGTCAACAGAATGACATCAAGGAAAGCGTGTCATTTCTGTTTATCATGTCCTTGACTCACGTTGAAAACCTGAAGCCTGATAGGAAAGTGTAATAAAGAGAGAAAAAGGAAAAATAACGCACTTTGTGCAATGACAGCGTTTTTTTAAAAAGACAAGTGGGCTGAAGGGGAATGTATTTCTTTCATGTTTTGGGGGGGAACAAAAGCTTTACATGATCATCTAATTTTAGTTCTGACACTTGCACTGCCAGGAAGCACACAGGTAAATAGTAGATAATATTTGCAAAGTAAAAATGATTAACAAAAAAAATTTAAAATAAAATAAAGCAGATTGAGTTTTAGAAACGGAAGTTTTATGCTTTGGAAAAAATTAAATGCAGATTTTTCTCCTGGTTGTTGGTTTCCGATTCTTCTGAGCTTGTAATAATGCAGACTTAGCCCCAGAACTACCCCTTAATTTTCTTGTCTGTTATATTGACACATTTCATTTAATTTAGCATGATGGCAAACAGCTGTTGAACTATTAATCTTTTCTCAGAAAAACTAGCGAAAAAAGATCTTTGAGATTGCTTTGCTAATGCATCTTTTTTCTTAAAAAAAGAAAAGCTAAAATCAAAAGAAATAAGTGAACAAGTGATCAAATGTGCAGCTGCATTATTTAAATTTATAGATCTTCATAATGGAGAAAGATTGAGTTATCTATCCCACTGGCAATTTTTTATGTATATGTAAAAATTAAATGAAGCCAATGTTGCATTGCTTCCGCATTTATGTGTTGGAAAGTCAGTTCTATCATTTTGTTGTGATTAATCCTGCCCCCCCCAACCTCCACCCAGGAAAAAAAATTCCCCCTTGTAATTTGTCAATATGAGGCAGCTTCCCAGTGCTCACTCACATGCTGCCCTGGGTGGGCTGATAGGTGAGAAGAGAAAGAGGGCCTACCTCAGGACGTTCTGCAGCTTCAAATGCAGCGCTGGAGATAACTTTATTCAAAGTAGGCACTTTCAGCAGTTTTTTTTTAAAAAAATTAAATTTTAATGAGGTCCAGTTGTTTGCTTAGGCCTGTATGATAGCAGATCTCATCTGCATTGCAAAGTCTCACACTCTAACGTCCGACTGCCAAACGTGCCGAAGTAGACACAGCTCCAGAGATAAACATAAATGAGTTTAGAGTGCGTGCACTGGAGAACATCTCAAGTGAAAAGGAGGGAGAAAGGGGTGTTCTTGCTTTGAATCGAGTAGGGTCTGCCAGAGTTCACTGGCTTTCCATTGCAGATTTGCTGAGTGGTGGAGGTAGAGGGTGCTGGGGTGGGAGAAGCCGCCAGCTGGGCCCTGTGTCTCCCCCAGGCTGTGTTTGTGTGTTGGGGGGCTGCTCTGCCGAGCTCCCAGTTGGGTGTTGCTTCCTCATCATGACTAGTCCTGAACTGGAGTTCTCACCCTTGGAGAAACCAATCCCGAGGACACACATCAGCACTTAAAGCACACGATTTTCATTTTCAATTTGAATTGTTTTGTGTAAAAACACAAAGGTTTTTGGGCAGGTTGCAAAATAGTAACTTAAAGTCTCAGAGCTAGGGTTTTCCCCCACCCAAATGGTGAACATTTATGGTGAAAACCTCCAATTTCCTCTTACAGTAAACATGAAAATTATGATTTCACTCAGAGCCTGCATCTTTTTCCAACCTTAATGGCAAGAATCTGCATACACTTGCTTGTGGAAATGTCATAAATTGGCCTGAGATCAACTCCTCCAAGAGAGTACACACCAAAGTGCCACTTTCAAATTTTTCACCCTGGTGAAATAGGATTTTTTTTTTTTTTCCTTCTCAGGGGTGTTTGCTTTTTCCCATTCAGGGCCAAGCAGGAGCATAGCCCTATAAAATCAAAACCACTTCATTCCATATTGCGTTCAGGAGCGAGCAAAGGATGTAAACATTTTAGTACAATGATGATAGGATTTCAGCATCTTAGAAAAAAAAAATTACATGAGCATTTGGTCAATGGCTGTGGAATGAATCCTGTACCCTGTTAGAAACTTGATCTAAATTAATAAACAAATGTTTTTCTTTTCACTTGTGCCATATGCTGATCCCAGTTTCATGGGCAGAAAGAGGCAGCTTGTAATGTTTCTTAGAGGATTACTCACTGCTTTGCATAAGAGAATATGCAGATGCAGGAGTAGATGTGGAATAAAATGTGTTCCCTGCTTTCTTTGTGTTTTAGGAAGCTTGATTTCAATTGTTTATTTCATCTGACGTGAACCATTTATATTTAACGTCGTAGATCTGGTAGATCTATGCTAAGTGGAAAACATTCTGTGAACAGTTTTCATCGGCAGCTAGACCCCCTCCAGCCCTTCCCCCAGGCTGAAAATGGTGGTGCTTTCATTTGTTTGGAAAAGTCCAAAGTGGAATAATGCGTCTTGTCTCCAACGAGCCTCTCCCTTCGTAGAACAAATGAGCCTCCACTTTAATGAAATTAAAGATGTTGTGGATGTTCACCAAACAGAGACACACATTCAAATAGCCGTCTGGTTTCCAAAAACAAAGGCCTGTGAGTCATCTTTTATTCCGCAAGAAAATAAATTGATAGACGGCACGATGAGAGCAAGTTCATGTGTACAACCTGAAGAGTTTTACCTTGACTTTTTTTTTTCCCCCTCTCTCTCCAAAAGTGTGTGGTCTGGAGAGGTGCAGATCTCAGAGCTTCTTATGAAACAGAATCGAGTTTCCTTATTGCTTTGCTTGTGTCTGTCCCAGGCGGACGAGGATGCCACCTGCCTTAACACCCGGATTTTGATGTTCTCTTTTGTTTTCAGGGTAAGAAGTGACCTTTTGAGGTGACTATAACTGAAGATTGCTTTACAGAAGCCAAGAAAGGTAAATATATATGTGATTAGTAGATTTATATTGAGCGGCCTATGTCTTGCCTCCTCGGCATCTTAACCCCGTTGTTTTCTCATCTGTGTCAAACAATACGCGTACTTCTTGGTGTGGGAATACTCTATGGAGCCTGTTCTGGGAAGTCTTCAAAGAAAAGATTACCCTTAAGAAATGGTCTACAGATTCCACATTACCCTCCCAGAGATTATACTGTTTGTGGAAGCAGAACTTGTTTTTTGCTTGTTGACTCAATGGGTTTACCATTAGACAGGAATAATCACATCACAGAAGTGGTGATTCATAAAAATTAACTTGCTGCAAACAAGAGTAGCACATGTCAGCGCTGCGTGCTGAAGTGGTGTCATCCAATTGATGTTCATCTGGCGGCTTGATGATCACCTTCTTTCAGAAATTAATAGTCAGGCACCATAGCAACACGCCACATTGATGTCACCGCCGAGCAGTGTGGGGCACATCCCTGTAATGTCAGTGCTGGGCTGCCTTGTTCTCTTGACCTTGCTTGCAAATCAAATGAGTACTTGATTTTAAAATTAGAACTTTCCAGAGAGACTCATGTAGCTTGATGAATGAAAGCCAAATTTAATTTTCTCAAAATCGCTTTTCGGGGGTGGGGGATGCAAAGCCATTTGGTTGAAATGGTTATGGATGCGACTTACTTACTTGATTTCAAAAATATCTCTCTGATCAGAGTAAAGATTATCTTACAGATGATTTGGTCATCTGATATTTCTCAAGGAGTAAATTTTTGGATTTGGGTCTTTAATAGTTGTATTTGATTTAGTAGCTGCATGTCTTTAAAAAAAAATAAAAAAGAACAGGCTGTTTTGTAGCATGATTGAATCAAGCAGTTGCTCTGAATGCACTGAATCAAAGTTGGTGAATTTGAGAGATGCAGACTCCTTATACTTTTTAAGAGTTTTTATAAAACTTTTTCGATGTGACAATTGATCACATTTGTTTTTAATCTCTCCCCTGCCAGGATATATTAGGAAGGAACATAGAATTGAGTTTATATTTGCATTCTGGCACGTTTGATTTGGTCCAAATATATCTATGTATCTTATTTCACCATCTATGTTGTTTAAACCTTTGCAGGGCACCACCACACCATCACTCAGGGAAACACTTGCTGTGTGCCCAGCTCGCTTCTGATTCTTAACAATGAAAGGATTAGTCTGGGGCAGAACTCTGCAAACTGGTTCTGCCTTGGGGACCGTTGCCTCGTGTCCCAGCTGCTAGTTGGGGTATGCTTGGCAATCTCCTGGCCTCTGCCATGTCTGATTCATCTCAGTGTAAGGCGGCTCCTCCTGCGAAGGTGGTGCCAGGCGTTTCATTCGTGCCCCACTGTTAGCAAAGGCTTGTAGTGAAGCTAAAAGTTGGGATTAAACCAAACTGGAGAGGTAGAGGAGGAGATGAAAACCAGAATCACCTTGAGGGCCTCCCGATTCGCACTCCTGCAAGTTAGAGCTTCAGTGTGAGGATGTCATCGGTTTCTCCGCGATCACTTGTAAGCGGTTCTTTCTGTTCTGATGTGCTGTCTTTATAATGTCCGTGCTTGTACCCAGCGATCAGAAAATGGAGATGGGGTTCTTCCACTCAATTCTGTGGCATTTTTCACACTTAAAAATATCGTGGGTCAAGGGGGAAATTTGGGAGAGAAGAGCTTCCAGGAATATTTTTATTAGTCAAGGTTAAAAATATTTTATGGTCATTATCAAATATGTGATGAGTTACATCCTTTAATGTCCTGTATATAGGGCCTCTCCCTTGAAAAATTGCCGGATCATATAAGATTTGATTTTCTTGATGCCCCCAGTCTTTATACAAAGAAAGCCGAGTAATGAATCCATGTAGTGGTTTCTTCATCTTGTTGTTTCTTAATTTTAGCTTTCATTATTGTCTTGTTTTTGTTCTTGATATACCACTTTCTTTTTCTCCATCCGCAATGAACATTTTATTAATGTATTTTTCCTCTGGAGTATCTGTCCCATCTGTATTTTGTTTCTAATTTCAATTATTAAAGGGAAGTTATGGTTTATAGGTTCAGATGAGTGAAAGATGATATATGTCTCTTAAATTTTTAAAAATGTATTTGGAAGGTAGGCAAACAGAGAGATGGAGCTCCTGGTTCACTAGCCCAATGGCCAAGTCAGATCTAGGAATACAGTGCTGGTCTTGTTTTATGTGGCAGGGACCAAGCCACCTGAGCCTTCAGTGCTGCCTCCCAAGCACATTAGCAGGACACCAGAGTCAAGAGCAGAGCTGGGATTCACACTGGGGCGTTCTAATATGGGATACCAGCGTTTTAACTGGCATATTCACCCCACATGTACCTTTAAAGAAGCCTAAGGCCTTGCAAAACCCATGCCTTGCATAAATGCTGGATATAAATAAAACTCGTTTGCTAGAACTATTTTTAAAAATGTCTAAAATGAATGTGGTGGTAACTGTTTCTGTCTGATGAGTAAGCCCTAAGCAAAGAAAAGATCCTACTATCCAATGCTAGACTAAAACCTAGCACCAACTCTCACCCTGTAGGAAGGCTGTAGATGTCAAATGCTATGAGCTTCTTGGTAAATACCATGCCTCAAATTTGAAATCTGGGAATCATTAGCAGTCAGTGTTGATGCAAATAAATATGCCTACATAGGCACTCTGGGAACAACTGGTTATGTGCATAAACGTGGCCGGGCAAATTCACAAAAACAGATGAAGCCATTTTTTAAATTTAGATCCAAAGGTCTGAAGAATCATAAATAACAGTCATCATCCTTGGTAGTGATACAACAATTTCCTTCCGAGTGGATCTGAGTGCTTTACAAAATGAGTCTGGTTGCTAGCATTCCTGAGAGGTAGCTGGCAATTATTAAAGTCCCAGCTTTACAGACTGGGAAAGTAGCCCCGTAAATGGTAAGCAACTTACCCAAGGTCAACTAGAAGGTCAAGACAGAAACAAAAAAAAAAAAAGAGAACTTGCTCTGGTCACAATTACATTGATGCCATTCTGTTGTGGTTGTCTTGGTTCGGTGATTTAATAAAGTCGATGTGGCATTTTCTCCTGTTTCTCTCCCTAGTGGCAGTTCAGCCACATGCATTTTACTTCAAATGTAAATGCAGTTTGTGAAATTCATCATTTTTTGATGAAATCTGAATGGTAATGAGTACTGAAGATCATCATTGAATTCACAGAGATTAAGTGACTGTTTTTAAATTTTAGCTGCCTTAAGGCTTCATATTTTATTTGTTGTTTTCTTGATTATTATTTTTATACTCAACTTATTTATGAGAATTTAAAACTTTATTTATGAGAAGTTAAAACTTTCTAAAGCAAGGTGAGAAGTTAAAACTTTTCAAAGCAAAGTGAAGTTCTTGCAGTTCTTCTCCCGTTGTCATCCCCAGTTTGGGCTCCTATATGTTAAATGAAGGAGCAATAATACATGCGCTACATTGTCTGTATATACTAAAACTTATTTCTTGACTTAAAATAAGCTAAAACTGCCATTTGACTACCTAAAATATACCCCCTGATGTCTTTGGAGACATATATTTATGTGATTAAAACATTTGGCTGACAACATTTCATTAAAAGGGACCTTTTAATTTTTTATAAAATGTTTACTCAAGTTTAAAGGCAGAGAGACAGAAACACAGCAACGTTTCCTCTGCTGATTCACTTCTGGAATGGGAGGGGAGCCGGGAACTTGCTCCGTGTCTCTCCTGTGCATGTCACAGACCCAAATACTTGAGCTGTCACCCACTGCTTCTGAGGGTGTATGTTAACAGGAAGCTGGCATTGAGAGTGGAGCTGAGGTTTCAAGCCTAGACTCTTCAATATGGGATGCAGGCATCTCAAATGCCCACCACCAAAATGGCCTTTCTGCAGCATTTAGCGTGTGAATTATGATTCAGGTAGTTGTCATGAAGATACTGCATGATAGTACTCTTCATTATCAGATGGCCACATTCGCTGTCACATAGCAGTCAGTTCAGTAGACATTGTAATGTGCCCAGTTCTACCATAATATCCCCACTCCTGGTTTCCAACTGGGGAAAGCCAAGGCTGATGTGACTAGGAGACCCTAGTACCCAGCAGTGTAAATGATACAAACATTATGTCCTTCTCTTATAACAATTGGGGCTGTCTTGCTTGGCTCAGCAGCCGCTTTCCATTTGTGCTTTCCTCCTGCGCGGCATTGTATTTATCTGCATGGTGGAAGCCCAGTTGTTGACATACTGTGGCGAAACCCAAGGTAAGCATGTGTGCTTTAAGCAAAAAAGTAGAAAATTGCCTGCAACCTGTTAATGTTTCATTTGGTTATGATCCTGAGGTCCCAATATGTTTCTAGAGCTGCTGGGAAATAATTCTACTTTGGGGGCCAGGCACCTTAGGAGGCGCTGGAGAACAAGTTTAAGGAGATGCTGAGAACATAACTACTTGATAGATTGAATCACTCTGATAATTTCATTTGACCATTAATTCATTCACACATACAAATGCACCTGTACACCCATCTGCATTAATTTATTTTTAAAGATTCATTTTATTTTTACTTGAAAGGCAGACTTGCAGAGAGAAAAAAAAGAGAAAGACATGTCTCCTCCACTGGTTCACTCCAATTAGCCATAGTAGCTGGAGCTGAGCCGATCCAAAGCCAGGATACAGGAGCTTCTCTTGGGTCTCCTATGGTCCCATCCACTTGGACCGTCCTCTGCTGCTTTCCCAGGCCACAAGCAGGAAGCTGGACAAGAAGCACATCAGTTGGAACTCAAACCAGTTCTTGTATTGCCCATCTTGGATTCTGGCCATCATGATGATGATATGTGTTTGGAAGGGCAAATATGAGGATACTTCAAAATGTTTGCTTAAAAGTGGAGTTGTGGGATGTCTCAGTGCAAAACACTTCAAACTCATGTATAGTTATTACAGTACTCATTTCTGCAAACTTTTGTAATTGACTGTTAGGGAAAGGATGCTG